CGAAAAATAAAAATAAAAGTTATAATGATAAAAATTAATTAATAGATACTCATTTTGTAGAAACTCAAAGTATATATATATATATATATATATATTTGTTGAGACTGCTCGAAAATCAGGGAAATCGAAAGATGTACTTATGAAGTTAATCGAAAGATGGAGGAGGATGAATACCCGTCTGGAATTAGGAGTTTTATGTATTCGTGTTAGAAATATAGTCGAAAACTTCGAAGCATATATAAAACTTCTCGAAAAATTGAGATTAACCCCTGCCAATAATAGTTGATTTGAGATCGAAGACAATTATTTCGAGTTGAGTAAAGTTGTGTGAGTACTTATGATCATACAAAGACAGTTAGCGTCCAAGTCGAGAAGTTAGTATACGCGAAGAGCGATTATGAGAAGTTACACTTTAGAAGCCACATAATGAGCATAGTGGGTAGCGGTTATCTCATAGTGGCCTACGTGCACGAGCGTTTGAGTGAGTTAACCGTCATTGATTCACTCTATAAAATCAAGAATTGTCACAGGGTCGGAAAATTTCATACTAAGACTATACTCTGAAACACTCTCTGCCTGCGCTATGGCTTTCGTGCATGGAATTGTTTTTGGGTATGATTCCTTCTCGGCCATTTTCATTTTCTTTTTATAGGAGTAGAATTAGCGTAGTTTCTTGTTTTTAATCTTGTAATGTTCGATCATCATCAATGTTGTATTGTTCTAAACCTTGTAAAAGTGAACCATGATTTGTATTGCTAATATCATTATTGTTCATTCTGTTCATCTAAGTGTTTACGTGCATGGAAATAATTACTTATTAATCATTGACGAATGCTTAGAGACTAACAATTATTGATCATTCCTTTTCATTGTAAACCGAGAAACATATGCCTAAATTGAAACACTTGCTGTGCTAGTCTAAATAAAAAGAACTCATAAACAAATTCCACCATAAACAAATTCCACCGTAAACAAATCTTAAATATAAAAATTGCATGTTTACCCCTTTCTTCATGAATGTCCATGAGAGAAAAAAACATATAAATTTTTTATATAATAAGAAGATTGGATGAAAGTTCGCTGTATGATTGATCCATTCACAAATTTCAGAGCTATGTTTGATTAAAATAATAGACAAAATCGTCGAAAGTTAAAAATTAATTAAAATGTAAGATATAATTTTTAATTGAAATTCATAAATCAGAAATGCTTAACACAATTAATTCTTTAACTTTGTTGGTAAATGTAAAATACACGAGATGATCAGTCCAATGAGTAGATTTAGTAATATAAACAAAGTCTTATATTTTAACCTTTTTGTCATTAGTGCACACCAAAAAAATGTAAAATACATAAATAGATATGTTATATATATATGGTGATTATAGTTTTAAGTTCTTCAATTTTCATGTTTTTTTTTTGTTGAAAAAATCAAAAATTAATTAAAAAAAATAGTGAAAATGGTGTATTAATTAAAATATAGTATAATATTAAAAAGAAGCATTTATTAAAAATGATGTAATAATAACGGAAATGATATTTTTTTGTTATTATAAAAAAATAAACTCGTCAACTAATTTTTATAATGAATTGTATTGATGCGATATATTTACTAATTTTGTCAACGGTTAATATTTATCAAAAAATCTAACTAGATATTTTTAGTAAAATTTCTTCTTTTAATTATATTTTTTTAATCCACATGATTAAAACAAGTTCAATTCTTATTAATTGATTGATTATTAACAATTTTTTACTAGTGTATTTAAAAAAAACAATTGAGAGAATTTTTTTTTTACTATAAAGATATTTCATGTTCAGTCAAATTTTTGGATAATTTTTAATTATTATTAAATTTAGTAAATAGTTCATAGTAATAATATAATTAATAAAAAAATAAACATTATAGGAAACACCTTATTATAATCAAATAATCTTATAAACTAATTAAAAAATGATAAATTAATTAAAATAAGTTATCAAATACAGTTCATCTGATGCCTGCTGCTACCAAAAGGGTTTTGGCTTTGACCGGAAATGATATTAAAATATGAAGATAAAAAATGTAAACAGCGGAGAAATAGTATTATAGTAAGAGAACAAAATGATGAAGGTATATCATGGACCACCGACACGTGCCGATTTCCACCGACCTATATGAAAAAAACAATGTTATGGTGTTGACTTTGTAACGACAAGCATATCCGAGAGTGGTTTCAATGTTTGAATTGAATCCTTGGCACCGAAAGTGAAAGTGAGGGCAGCAATACGTGGATCCTATGCCTCACACTAACTTCCACTGCTTCACTCACCTTTTCTTTTCTTTACCCACTAAATTTATTCATCAATTCACCAATTCAAATTACCAGTTAAGTTTTTAGGTTTTTTTCAATCTTACCACAGCTATTCTATCCTAGCTAGTTTCTTGGGTTTAAAATTTATTATTTGTATGATTATAATTGTTTAAGAGTTTTTCACACCAATAGTTAACATGAAATTCGTTACTAAATAAATAGTCTACATATAGTATATAATTGCATGATGTTTAATCACTGTGAATTTCATCGAGTTATTTTAGAGTTTGGTTTAGTGATCTTAATTTCTTGCTAATCTCTAATTCTTAATTTGGGGGTTTAGCTAGGTAATTAAGATGTGTAATTCGTTACAGTTAGGTGTTATATGCGATTTATAACATATTTAGAAAAAGCAACTTGATTAAAATTTTATTCAAAAGTTCTTATGAGTTATATTGTGTGGAATTAGTATTCCCGATAAAATATTGAAATATGATTTATTTACTTTTTTGCTTATAATTGAATATTGCTTCTTTTATTTTCCTTCTCTAATGTGTGCTCTTCTCGAATCTATATTTTATGTGTTCTTCCCGAATTCATGGATAATATTGATCTCATAGACTCATAATATACAGTAGAAGAAGAAAAAACGATAGTGAAATTCAGAGAAGGAGCTGATCGAGCATGAGCTCTCATTATGAAGAGATTTTCAATGGCAGTGATGGTAAGGGGTTTTACTTATAAGGACTTCAACAATGAAAGAGTAAAATCAAATGTGTAGATAAAATACTATTTTTTATTATTATTCAAAATAAATTACTATTGTAATAATTGGTAAGTGTAGATAAAAAAAGTTAATTATTAAAAAGACTTTAAATTTGTAAAATATCAAACATACTTCAAGAAAATGCTTCTATGACCTAATTAAACTTTAAGAAGAATCTATACATTTTCAAACACTAGCTTTTTCATTTTTAATTATACTTTTCTATGTTATCTAAACTTTAAAGAGTTTGTTTGTTTTTATTAGAAAAAATATCTATGTTGATGATCAGATACTTATATTTATATTAGGAATCCTAAGATCTAATAACTAATATCTATATTAAAGACAGTGAACATACATAAAATAATAAGTATTCCTTTTTTAACATAAAATATTTCATATTTTAAGGCAAAATTTAAATTCTAAATAATTTAATTAAGAAATAATTATTATCATTTATCTTAAGCAGTGTTAGTTAAGTTTCAATGAATATAATAAAAGTTTATGGTAGATAATTTTGGTGAAAAAGCTCAACACAAAACTGGCCATTGTCTACATGTGTTAGAAATAAGTCAAGCACATTCCGACCTAATAAAAAGTAACCAAGACCTTTATCCGACCCAATTCTTCCATCTTTGTTTACTTGTCTCTCCAGCTTAAGACTCTTCCAAAACCATAAAGATACATATACATGAATGTGTTCTATTTCTAACACCCCACATTCCCATGATGCAAAGAATATCCTAATCAGTGTGCAAGGGACCTTCTTTGGAGCAACACTCCTCATGCAACGTGCAAACCATGTCTTTAACCACAATGTTCATAAATATGTATATTTTGGAATTGATTTGAATTAATGCAACTGTGGTGTGGTACGTAGTTTTGTTTGTATATATATAAACTCTTAACCAATCACTAGGTATCCTTTTTATCTTCTTTAATTAATCTTCTTGATAACGATAGAAAGATTTAAAAACTGATAATGTTCTATTATGTATTATTGACTATCTTTAAAATATTGTTGTATTTTCTAGTATAGCTACAAGTGATTTGAAAAAGAAGAAGAAAAAAACTAATGACAAGCACTTGTGCTAAAGGTCCTATCAATTAGTTTAATAGAATTTGGTAAGAGTAGGTAAATATATGCACAAAACTTATTGTTTGTGTTAATGATTAATTTTATCTCCATAATGTATATAATAAAGACTTGCATTGAAAGATTATATAGTTTATATTGACTATGGAAATAAAATTTTGATTTAATCGAAAACAGTATAAACAATATATATAAGAAATAATATATGTTTTGTCCTTAATCTATTATTGTATATTTGATATTGGGAAGAAGCCAAGGTTTAAATTGTGTAGGTACTGCTACTAAAGTCATCTCTACTTGTATCTTCCTCCTAATTTTAAAATACTTGGACATATACAATTATTTAAAAACTTAAATATCTTCTATGCAAAATATCTTTTGTTTATCCTTTTTGCTCTGAGTGCATGAATCACTCACCTTTGGCACAGCACAATGACTGTAAAAGTTTTTTCATCAAGTCGTGAATCTTGTCTCACATTAATTTTTAATCTTTCTTGCAAAACACTAGTTATTATATAAAAATATAGAATTTGTCTATAGAAAATATCTGAGCAATATCTGAGCATAGTTAACTGTTTGCCTTAGAAGTCCTGTTGTTGCAACATGTGGAAAGCTAAAAGCTAAACATAGACACATTAATATCAAAGTGCGTGACTGTAACGTGACCAAAGGTGGTTGAGCATGAAATTAAAGGAAGGAGATTGGTGTTGAAGTAAAGACACAACCGCGTGGGTCCCACTCTAGCCAACCAATAAGGGAACTGTTCAAGTCCTTGCTTCTTTCTTCCATTCATAAAAATTAAAAATAAAAAAGGATATAAATTTAAACCCCTTTCTGGCTCTCATATAAACCTCTCTCACACCTCTTTCCTCACTCACAACACACACAATCTCCCCTGCTTTCACCACCTGAGTTTCTTCTCTCTTTCTCATCTCACAAATTGACACAAAAAAAACATCGAAAACCCATTGAGCTCTGATCTTGCTCGCTCTCTGATTTTTGTTTTTTCTGTAATTAATTGATGATGGGTAGCTCCAAGGGAAAGAACGTTGGCATCCGATTCTATTTTTGATTTGATCGGTGTAGAACAGAACACACCCAGATTCCAAAATTCAGTCTTGAATCTAAGTTTTAAGCTTGGATCACTCTGATTCGAATATTTCTTCTTTAACTCGCACCCATCTAGAAGAGCTTTGGTTTTGATCGAGCGGGCAGAGTGTTGTGTATTTATAAGACACTCATGGCTGGAGCTAACAGTGGGAAATTCGATGTGGGAGATGAAACTCACAAAGCTTCCCAACAGGGTTGTGGTAGTAGTGAAAGCCGAGATTGGGAGATTGAGAAGGGAAAGGGCGTGGATTCGAGCTCTCAGAGGCGTCAATGGAAGCCAGTTTTTGATGACGCTTCCATCTCACACAATAGACCTCTGAAGAAAATCCGCAGCCCCGATCGCCATAACACAAACCAATCCTATTCTTCTTCTCTTCCTTTTCAACCTTCTCCACTCTCAGCTCTTCCTTCATCCTCTTCAAGAATAGTTTTCCCCTTCGCCTTCGACCCTTCCCAAATGCAATTCCCACACCAATCACCTCTCCCAAACCAACAACAACAACAACAAATGATATCATTCGGCTCCCAGCAACAACATAACCTTCCCTATCCACCAATCATAGCCCGAGATTCTTCGCTTCTACATCAACATCTTCATCATCATCATCAACATCATCATCAACAGCAGCATCATCAACAACAGCTTCTTCAGTATTGGAGTGATGCTTTGAATCTAAGTCCACGAGGAATGTTGGCAAGGGTGGGGCCAGATGGAAGGCCATTGTTTAGGCCTCCAACGCAGCCCATAAACACGACTAAGCTCTATAGAGGAGTGAGGCAACGCCATTGGGGAAAATGGGTGGCTGAAATTCGTCTTCCTCGAAACAGAACACGTCTCTGGCTAGGCACATTCGACACTGCCGAGGACGCCGCCATGGCCTACGACCGTGAAGCCTTCAAGCTAAGAGGAGAAAATGCCAGGCTCAATTTCCCTGAACTCTTCCTCAACAAGGACAAAAAACAAGAACAAGAAGAACAAGAATCTTCTTCCCTGACCACCGGTAAAGAACAGCATGAACCTCTGTCTGACCGTGACGTCCAATTACCCTCGAGTAATGAGAACGACTCGGGAATTGGGTCGAGTGACATCACGGCCAGCGATGAGGTTCATGCTGAAGTTACCGGTGGTTCTGAGGGAATATCTCAGGAACTGGTTTGGGGAGAAATGTCTGCATGGTTCAATGCTATTCCGGGTCCTGGTAGTCCCATGTGGGATGATTTGGATACCACCAATAATCTTCTCTATCACTCACACATTCCTATTGCAAATCCCAATCAACAACAATCCAATGATGCCTCTAATGATGCTCAGAGACAAGAACATAACATGGGACCAGGTTACTTATGGAAGGATCAGGATTGAGATTGTTGTTCCGACCTCAAGTCCACTACATTGTTAGGCTCTTTGCCTAGATTCTTACCTAATGTGTGACTTTTTCAAGGAACACTTACCTTACTTTTTCCTTTTCCAGGTTACAGTTTCATGATTATGGTTATCATTATCATGATCCACTCCTTCATTACATGTTACGACCCTTTGATGGTTACTTACTTGATACACCCAACTTTCTTTACTACTCATGGTTCTGGTTGCAGATATTTTCACCAAACAACCTCTGAACCTTGGCTATATTCATTTCCTTAGAAACTTTGTGCTCTCATACTCCCTTAATCCTTCACAGCTATTACTCTTACACCTTACTTTTCTTCTCTTCCTTCAGTTAACTATTTTCTTGTTTTCACTTACTGTAGCTTGGCATGACCAGGGGAGAAGGAAACGGTTTTGTGATTTCCTTCTCTGTTGTTCCATCCGTTACACATGAGCTATGTTTTTCAGCTCCAAGGATGGATTTATTATTTATATTATATGATATGATATGATATTTCATTTGTAATTTGCACGTTATGTATCTATTTTTGTTGTTTTATTAAATATCCAGCACTTTGTAGTATCATTGCAGCATATGTATCACTTTGGTTATATATACGGTCCACCTTTTGCCTTCCCAAGACTTTGTTTTGTCCAATTAGCAACTGTGGTTTGGATATGGTTAACTTTAGGCCAACAAAAAATGAATAATTAAGAAGGAAATTAGTATGAAAGTATTAAATATCTATACTTGCCTTGCGATGTAAGTTGGAGACATAGGTCCCTAGTCTAATAATCAAAGCAGATAATGTTGACTAACAACAAATTTTACCAAGATTACCACCGTCTGTGGGAAACACTAGGAATTTTTAGTTCCCATACTTTGACCACGCAATGATTTTTTTACATAATTTTATTTAATATCATTTTGGTAAGTGTGAGCCTGAGGTAAAACTTATAAGCACCATGCATAAAACTGAAAACATTAATTTTTTAGTTTCAATTATATACATTTGCGATCTTTTAAATCAATTGTCTCATTATTTTTAAACTTACTAAAATTTATTATCCCTACATCATTTTAATTAAAACTCTTAAGTTCTCATTTTCCATTCAAAATAATCGCCAACTTTTTCATCTTCAAACCTCATTTCACATACAATAATTTTTAAAAAAATATTTTTTAACTTTTGAAATTATTTCAAATTCCAAATCCAGTATACACTCCCCAAATATTTAAATATATAAAAAGATGATTAGGGGATTTTAGGTAGAAACCAAATTTGCATAATATTCAAAATGCAAAAACTTAATTCTTGTTATAAAAAGAAAAAGGACGTGGTACATCAAAATTATTTTTAGTATAAATTAAAAGGTCAACTAAAAGTATAATTAAACTAAAATGAAGTGTCAAGAGGAAGATGACTGACATGACTCTAGTCTCTTGGTTATAATATATACAAATATTTGAAGTTTCATTCTTTTCTTTTTCTCTCTCTTTCCCCAGCTCATACTCATCCCTGATCAATCAGAACAATTAAGAATTTTCTTTTAAAAAAAATTAAATATTTTTTTTGGCCAATATAATAATACAAATGATTAAGTTTAACTATAAGTCTGAAAATATCAAACTCTCTCATCATTGAGCATGCGCGCATATACAACTAATCTTATGTATTTTCTTTTGGTTTATTGTACTTGTTGATGGGCATATTATTCAACAAGAATTAGATATTATAAATGCAATATTTTAAAAGAAATCATTCTGTGTACAAAAGTATTAACAAATCAAAGGAAAAATTAAGAAAATTACCGTGAATAGACATGAACGTTAGGTGAGGATCTTACCATTTAAATATTTCAATTAAGAACCATAACGGATTCTTTTTCCAAAAAAAAAAACATATAATGTATGGATTTGATCAATTTCCTGCATTTGGCTTGAAAAATGCCAACTAAAATGATAAGTGATTTATGTGTTTTAAATATTAATAATTTTAACTCAAAACAATCCTATATCTGTTTAAGAATTTTTAGAATTTAAGAAACTCTAAACTATATCATTTTATCTACGTATATACCAATTATATATAACAAATAGTTTTTTCTCACATTACATTATTAAATAAACCTAAAATTTGAAGAAAAAAATAATTTTAAAATTATATGTACATAGGCATGCATATATAAGAAAATATTTCATATTTAGTATTCAATAGTGTCTCAAATAAATTTGCCTATATAACCAATCGTATTTATATTGTAGAAAATAGGAAAGATGAAATCATAAATTAATTAGAAAATAAAGCCAAAAGTATTTAAACTACACTAGAAGTAGCTAGGTGTGATAAAACAAACTCTTTTATTAAGATTAGTAATAATGAGTTATTTTTATTTGAGTAATCTTTTCCTAACTATATTTTTAGAATAGTTTTTAATTATAATATTTTTTCCTTTTTATCACATTATTTAATGTTTTACATTTTTTTGCTTCTCTTGATATCTTTCTCCTATGTGTATATATGAATTTAAAATAATAATAATAATAATAATAAATAAAAAAAAACTATGAAAGGAGAATTGCTCATTTGCTCTTTTATTTTCTGGATTATGAATCCCACCAAATATGGATCGAAAATTGTGTCTGGCATATCTATCTTCGTGACAAACGAGAAACAAATAAGGACAAAAGTAAACGCAGACTTTCCACGTTAATTATTGCAACTAATATTTTAATTTCAAAGGATAATTAAGTATGATGAGCAAAAGTGGGCCCAATCACCGGCCCATGAGATCATCACATTTCTTACTTGCGACGGCACGATAACGATGATCTTTAACATGATTATTAATGATATTAATCCAAAATCATGTGGTTAATTAAACAGCATGATAACGCTTAATATACATATACAAGCCAATACTAAACGATAAACAAAATATCTACGAGCAGGATGCTAGTGACGTACCCATACATACACAAACTTCACTATGTCATCTTCATCCTAATCTAAACCAAACCTAATCTTTTGATGCTTTCTTCATTATAAATAAATAAATCAATAAACGTTTCAAGCAAACAGGATTTCTTTTTTCTTCACAAGCACGATATATTTTTGGTATATATATATATATA